TACCCTCCGTACCGTCCTCGCGTCGTCGTCCTCCCTACTCCTACTCTACTGTGTGTGTGTGTGTGTGTGTGTGTGTGTGTGTGTGTGTGTGTGTGTGTGTGTGTGTCTCTCCCGTGCGCGGACACACGCGTACGTGATCACACGCGTGTGCACTCGTCTAGTCACTGCGCGTGTCCGTGCTATATATAGGTCGCGTTTACCTGGCGGTTAACTCGTTCGCCACGTGCGCGTGCGTCGTGAAGTGTCTCCCATGTCGAAGAGAGTCGGCAAGAGTTGCTTACCACAGGTGGCGCCACCATCTACAGTAATCAACTTCCTGGTCGCGCGGGCTTCCCGGATGCGTGCCAGACGGCGCATGCGCAGTACGCGTCTCCGATTTAATTATCGATGCATCATGTAGATGGCAGCACCGATTTATTGGTTTACACAATTGATTAACGCAGCAACGAGCTGCGTTCTCCGCTCCTCCTCCTTCTACTTCTCCTCCTGTTCTTCTTCTTCTTTTCACTCCTTCTCCAATTCCTCCTTCTCACCACCGCCCAACCTTCTCCTTTTCACCGCTCCTTTTTCCTCCTGTTCTTCCTCCTCCTTTCTCTTCTTCAATGCCTCCTTCTCACCACTCCCCCACCTTCTCCTTTTCACTACTCGTGCTCCTACTTTCTCTTCTTCTTTTCACTCCTTCTTCAATGCCTCCTTCTCACCACTCCCCCCACCTTCTCCCCTCTCTTACTCCTGCTTTCCGCTCTTCCTCGTCGCCGCTTCTTCTTCCTTCCCGCAGCGGGAAGCTTTCCGAATCGAACGGCAATCGACGCCCTCAGGTGAAGCCGCGACTAACGGCTCTTACGTGACCCTGGCGGCGGCGACAGGTGACAAGTGTCGTTCGCAGGTGTGTCGTGTGTCGTGCTGCCACACGTGTGCTCAGGTGTGTCGTGTGTCGTGCTGCCACACGTGTGCTCAGGTGTGTCGTGTGTCGTGCTGCCACACGTGTGCTCAGGTGTGTCGCCGTCACCGCTGTTAGAGCTTCACCACGGCGTTGACAACTTCCGCCACTAGAAGAACAACGATAGCGCAGATCTGTAATGATCGAATGATTGATTTCGATTCGATCGATTATGATTGATTCGATCAATTGTGATCAATTCGATCAATTATGAATGATTTGATCGATTGTGATCAATTCGATCGATTATAAATGATCTGATCGATGGTGATCAATTCGATCGATTATGAATGATTCGATCGGTTGTGATCGATTCGATCGTATCGAATGATATTTATTGATTAATTTATTGATACTAGGCGACGCTATGCGTTTCACTAGCCCTAGCTGATGGCAACCGGCGTGTGTGGGTCGATGAGCGAATGCGAGTACGGGTGACATTTCTTCACAACCACTCGCGTCGCTCATCAATATACTAGCGATCACACGCATGCACGCTGCTGTCCCATAGAAATAGAATAGAAGCAGAATAGAAATAGAATAGAATAGAATAGCTTCTATTCTATTCCTGTGTGCTGTCCGCGTATACAATACGAACAATTGTATGGATTATATGGAATTGTATGGAAAATGGCGGTATAGGATACCGGATCTGGTATTCACAACGAAATCCGTATCTGAAATGCGAAAGGTTGTTAAGTGTTCATCATTACTGTACCGTACAGCCAACGTATTCGCGATTTTTATGGGGAAATGAGAGCATGGTGTATGACTATTTGTATGGCCTAGTGAATTATTTCCTCAAAAAGTCAACTCTATTGTCTGAGTGTGAGATTGTTTGCACCATTATACACGCAGCGGACTACACGCAGCACACGGAAACTGACAGGTTAAATTTGTCGGAATGTATTTTGTCGTGTGTATGCTTCAGTCTTGGAATGCTCAGCCCATGTCAAGGTCTATAACCCTAGACGATTACACACACGCGCGCACGCACGCACGTACACGGCTGCACGCACGTACGACGTTCACATGCACACACGCGTACGCACACATGCACGCACACGTGTACTACGAGCACGCACACGCGCACGCACAGATACACACATACACGCGCGCGTGCGTGCACTACTTTCTAACGAATCGAACCAATATATGGCATCAAGAGCGCGTTAACGACGAGGGAAAATACTGATAAATGCGCTTATTTAGGAAATTGGGAGATGTTATCGTGTAAATGACTGCTATTATCTGTAAATATCTAATGTCGGACGCTGCAGGATCTGTCCGTCGATCGACCGTGACAGGAAACTCACGCACGCACGCACACACACACACACACACACACACACACGCACACACACACGCACACACACACACACACACACACACACACACACACACACACACACACACACAC